AATGGGAAGGGGTATTTATACTACTCAAGAACAATCCTACACCACACAAATAAACTAATTTAAACCATTACAAATTCAACAAATATCTAACTCTCACCTAACTAAATTGATGTAAGCAATGACATCATTAATTAAATGATGTAAGCAATGACATCTTTAATTAAATGATGTAAGCAATGACATCAATTTAGCTTGGGTTTGGGTTTAGGCTCCCATAATGGATCAAGTTTATGATCCAACACCCTCCCTTAAACTTGATCTCGTGACCCCTAGTAGGTTCCTTAATCTTAAGAAGTCTTCGCTGGTCAGTGGCTTGGTAAAAATATCAGCAACTTGATCTTGTGACTTCACATATTCAACTTCCACATCTTTTCTTGCAACACACTCCCTTATATAGTGGTAGCGAATATCAATGTGCTTGCTTCGATCATGGAATACTGGATTCTTCGCTAAGGCAATGGCTGACTTGTTGTCGACACAAACCTTGGTAGGCTCTTCTTGTATCAAACCAATCTCCTTCAATAGATTTCTAAGCCAAATTGCATGACAAACACATGAGGTAGCAGCAACATATTCCGCTTCACAAGTGGATAATGTGACAATCGGTTGTTTCTTTGACATCCATGTGAATGCAATATCTCCCATGAAAAATACGAATCCAGTAGTGCTCCTTCGATTATCTATGTCTCCACCCCAATCACTGTCGCTATATCCAACAAGCTTGTAATCATTAGAAACTGAATAGAACAAGCCAAAGTCAATTGTACCTTTCAGATAGCGAAGAATTCTCTTTGCGGCTTTAAAATGGGTGGTTGTTGGGGATTCCATGTAGCGACTAACCAATCCAACTGCGTGAAGAATATCGGGTCTCGTGCAAGTTAGATAGCGTAGACTTCCTACCAAACTTTTGAAGAATGTTGGATCTACACTTTCGCCTTCTTCATGTTTGGTCATCTTGATCCCGTATTCTGCCGGTGTGCTTATTGGCTTACAGTTCTCCATCTTGAACTTCTTCAGTATCTCCTTTGTATAGCTTTCCTGTGAAATGAAAATTCCATCATTTTGTTGCTTAACTTTAATGCCAAGGTAGTACGCCATGAGCCCCATGTCTGTCATCTCGAATTCTTTCATCATCACATCCTTGAATTCATTAAACATGCTTGGGTTGCTTCCAGTGAAGATCAAATCGTCCACGTAGAGGCACACGATCAAAATATCTTCATCTTTGATCTTGATATATAGAGCATGCTCGTAGGGACATTTGTTGAAACCATTCTCTTGGAAGTACTTGTCGATTCGGCTATTCCATGCCCTTGGTGCTTGTTTTAGCCCGTAAAGAGCCTTTTTCAACTTCAACACCTTGTCTTCATGCCCTTTGACTTCATAGCCTGATGGTTGCTGAATGTAAAGTTCCTCTTCAAGAACTCCATTTAGGAAGGCGGACTTTACATCCATCTGTTGTATCTTCCACTTGTTTTGAGCTGCCAAAGAAATGATTAGTCTGATAGTCTCCAATCGAGCAACAGGAGCAAATACCTCATCATAGTCAATTCCAGCCTTTTGACTATAGCCTTTAGCAACTAGCCTCGCCTTGTGCCTTTCAATCTCTCCTTTGGCGTTTTGCTTTGTTTTGTACACCCATTTGACACCTATCGCCTTATGTCCCTTGGGAAGTGAGGTAAGTTCCCATGTGTCATTCTTCTCGATGGCCTTGATTTCTTCGTCCATCGCATCTCTCCATTTCTTTTCTTGTACCGCTTCTTGAAAGCTCACTGGTTCACAATCGGCAAACAGACAAAATAATGTAAGATTATCTTGTCGTTCAGTTACCTCATAGAGATCTCTAAGGCTTCTTGTGCGTTGCACAACTCTTTCACTTTGACTCCCACTTGACGATGATGAAGGTGATGAGTCTCCTTGAGTGGTTGATGTTGGTGAAGTGGGTGGAGTTGCAAGCTCTTGTTGAGATTCATCTAGTTGCTCACTCATTGTCTGCTCATCTTCTTCAAACTGAGGAAAGAAATTGAAGTCATCTGTATGGGAGTTAAAATCCCATTCTCCTTCTTCGTTGAAGACCACATCTCGACTAATCACAAACTTCTTATTGTCTGGATTGTACAACTTGTAGCCCTTCGAATTAGCATCATAGCCGATGAAGATAAAACTTTCGCTTTTATCATCAAGCTTCGTTCTTCTCTCGTCTGGTACATGAACATGGGCTATACTTCCAAAGGTTCTCAAGTGGGAAATGCCAGGCTTTCTTCCACTCCATGCCTCTTGCGGTGTCTTTCCCCATACACTTCTTGTTGGAGATCGATTTGACAAGTAGACTGCACATGATACTGCTTCCGCCCAAAATTCTTTGGGTAGTTTCTTGCTTTTGAGCATGCTTCGTGCCATGTCGAGGATTGTTCTATTCTTTCTTTCTGCCACACCATTTTGCTGGGGGGATCTAGGAACTGTCATTGGTCGACGAATTCCATTTGCTTCACAGAACTCTTGAAACTCCCTGGAAGTAAATTCTCCACCTCGATCGGATCTCATGGCTTTGATCTTTCTACCGCTTTCTCTCTCCACTGCTGTTTTGAACTTCTTGAAGACTTCAAAAACTTCTGACTTCTGTTTCAAGAAATATACCCAGGTTTTTCTTGAAAAATCATCAATGAAGAGAAGAAAATAGTTATTGTTACCGAGAGAACTTGGCTTGATCGGTCCCACACATCGGTATGGATGAGCTCAAGTGGCTTCTTAGCTCTTGTCTCTGACTCCTTTGGAAAGCTTTTCCTGAATTGTTTCCGACTAGACACCCTTCACAGAGTTGGTCAGGATGGTTGATGTGAGGTAGTCCTTTCACCATCTCCTTCTTAGATAATAGCTCTAGACCTCCAAAATTTAGATGCCCAAATCGAAGATGCCAAAGCCATGATGCATCTTTGTAGCAAGCTTTCAGGCACTTTGCAACATCATTTTCTATGTTGATCAAGAACATTCTATTCTTTGACATCGGCACTTTAGCAATGAAGTTATTCTTATCATCTTTTATAGAAAGATTATAATTATTTATATGAATATCATAACCTTTCTCTACCAGTTGCCCTAAACTTAAAATGTTATTTTCATATTGGGCACATAGTAGACATTTGAAATAAATTGATGTCTCCCATCTTTCAAACGGATAAGAATGTTACCTCTCCCTTTCACTGCTATTGTGGAATCATCTCCAAACGAAACATTTCCACTTACTGACTCGTCTAGATCCACAAACATGTCTTTCCTTCCACACATGTGATTGCTTGCACCACTGTCAAGATACCAGGAATTTGCTTGGCCACCATCAGTTTCCTTTCGTGCTAGAAGAAGAGTTTCTTTGCCATCTGTCTTTTCCTCCACGTAATTGGCCTTCTCCTCAATTTTGTTGTTGGGAGCTCTACATTCTGAAGCATAATGCCCAAATTTTTGACAATTATAACATCGAATTGAGATTTGTCATACTTTGAGTTTGGATTAATTCTTCCACGGCCTCGTGTTGAGCTTTCTCCTTTCTCATAGTTATTGTTGGAATTGTTATTGTTGTAATTCCAGCCTCGTCCACGACCTCGACTTCCACCTCGTCCATGGCCTCTACCTCTGCCTTGGCCACGTTGGTTTATATCATTGCGTTGGCTCTCATGCATATCCTTGAGTTGCAGCTTGAGAAGTTGCTCAGTAAACTCATGCTTCTTTTTATGCTTCTCTTCGTATGCTTGCAATGATCCTTGGAGCTGTTCGATCTTCATTTCTTCCAAGTCTTTAGTTTCTTCAATCGTCACGACAATGTGCTCAAATTTGGGATCCAACGAACGGAGTATCTTCTCTATTATCCTCACATCGTCTAACTTTTCACCATTTCTTTTTAATTGATTAGAAACAGCTACTACTCTTGAGAAATAATCTGAAATAGACTCAGATGCTTTCATGTTTAAGGATTCGAATTCACCTCTTAATGTTTGGAGACGAACCTTCTTCACTTGCTCGGATCCTTTGTAAGAGGTTTGCAGCTTCTCCCACGCTTCCTTGCTAGAGCTTGCACTTGAAATCTTTTCAAAACCATCATCATCTAATGCTTGATAGATGAGGTAGAGAGCCTTCTTGTCTCTCTTTCTTGAATCCTTCAAAGTTGTCTTTTGATCTGGTGTAAGAGTAGCAAAAACATCATCATCCGCAGGCTCATTATAGCCTTTCTCTATGATATCCCACACATCTTGTGATCCAAGAAGTGCCTTCATTTTGATACTCCAATTGTCGTAGTTGTTGTTGTTGAGTGTCGGAACTTGGAATGGTACCATACCATTTGCCATATCTCTCAATATAATGAGATTTTGTAAAATCCGATTGCACGGATGAATCCGGAACGATGAAAAAAAAAAAAAACTTTGGAGGGACTTGGACACCTCGGTCAAGGGCTCCAACTCGGCTGAATCGGCTCAACTCGGTGAGTCAACTCGATTTTCTGGCAGCAGTCTTCCGGCGGTGCGTGGCGGTGCGTCAGAACTCAGATTGAGAAAATTCTGGCGGCGGCGTATTCCTCTCGTCGAGACCTTCGATCTTTCCAACTCGCTCTGATGCCACTTTGTTGGAAATAAAACGCTCACACAAACAACTTTTATTGAAACTCAAACAAATATTACAAGAGTACTCTCACTCAAAAACAAGAACTACAACTCACTCTTATAAGACTTTGCTTCTTCACTCACTTAGAAGCTCTTAATTTTTCTTGATGCTTAAAACTAAAATGGGAAGGGGTATTTATACTACTCAAGAACAATCCTACACCACACAAATAAACTAATTTAAACCATTACAAATTCAACAAATATCTAACTCTCACCTAACTAAATTGATGTAAGCAATGACATCATTAATTAAATGATGTAAGCAATGACATCTTTAATTAAATGATGTAAGTAATGACATCAATTTAGCTTGGGTTTGGGTTTAGGCTCCCATAATGGATCAAGTTTATGATCCAACAAGCTCCTCAGAGGAGTCTTCCTCCTCACTTCAGATTCGTCGTGCCTCCTGCTTACAAGGCTCCACCACCGCCGGCAGAGGCGGCTACACCGGCTCCACTGCCAGAAGAGGTGGCTAAACAAGCTCCACCGCCACCGGTGGTAGCTTTGCCAGCTCAACCGTCGTCGCCACCGTCAGCTGAGCCACTATTGCGCCATCACCACTCCCGCAACCACCTTTGTTAACTTATCAATTTTCAATGTTTAATTATATTTAAACTATCAGTTTTAGTATGTTTTAATATTTAAACTTTTAATTTTTTTAAGACTATACCTAACGTTTAGTTTTCATTTCATTTTAGTATCCGCCGTAAAAAACGTAACGTTTAGTACCTAAACTATCAGTGTTGTCCCGTTTTAATACATAAACTTTCAATTTTTTAAAACTTTACGTTAAATTTTGAACGAGATACTAAAATGATACAAAAATTAAAGTTTTTAACTGCATGTACTAAAATGAAACAAAAACTAAACTTTTATATGATTTTAAAAAATTAAAAAATTAAATATTAAAATAGACCAAATTTTTTAATTTAAGTACTAAACGCATAATTTAACCTTATATCTTGAATAATATTGATAAGATTGCACTAATAGACTATGCAAACTAATTAGACTATGGAGAAACTACTATGCAAACTAATTAGACTACAGAGAAACTAATTAGGCCACGCAAACTTTTTTTTTTGAATTAATCATTAGTATCCGATTTATTGAACGACTAATTTAGATTGGGTACTGCTGAAACGAGGGCGACCCTCCCAACCTAGTTTGCTCCATTCGCAAACGCTAGGATTCGAACCCCTGACTTTACTTAAAGGACCTAGTGTTTTATCCTACTAGAATTCGAGTTTAATTTTAGGATTTCATCGTGAATAATTCAAATTGACCCGCATGATATATTTAGTTTTGGTAGACGAGTCTTATAACATAATTTTTTTACATATACAAGGCCTCAAATTCGAGACTTGATTAAGTGCGATCAAACTACATACCACTTGAACTCGAGACTATACAAACTTTAACAATATTGGTGTAGAAGTCAATTAATGGTCCTATTGGTAAAAAGGAATGTTATTTTCCTTAGAGATATTTGATTAGAACGATTAATCTTTAGATTGTTTATTAATTAATTAGAATTTTTTTGACTAAATTATATATAATAATTATATAAAATTTCAAATTTAACTCTTATTTAAGTAGAAATTAAAAATATTATATCTTTATTTTATTTTACTAGTTTAAAAGATGAACCCCTCGTTCGAGTAACCCCTAAAACAATTAGTCCTTATTCGAGCATTTAGTCTTATTTATTTATTTGAAGTAGGATGGGTATGGGTCGGGTCGGATTTTTGGTCCACCCGACTAGACTCGAGAATAAGGGAGCCTCCATTAGAGATCCGACCCGACCAAAACAAGGCTTCACCCGACCCGACCCAACCGAAATAATAAAAAATATTTTTATTCAATAAAATAATGACTTAATTGAAAAAAATTATATATAGAGGGGTATTATTGTAATTATTCTAAATATATAAGGTAAAATTATATATCTTTTTTCGAGTCGGTTCGGTTGAGTATTTTCACCATAAACCTGAACCCGACCTGACCCGAATATCACACTTAAAAAAACTCGACCTGAACCCGATTTAAAAAAAAAAACCCAACCCGATCAGGTCGAAACCCATCTGGTTCGGGTTCGGGTATCATATACATCCCTAATTCAAAGTGTTAAACTATGGTCGAGTTCTACAAATAGACCTTGTACTTCTCATATTTTGTGAATCCACCCTTCAAATATATAAAAGTTGCTGCTTGGCTCTACTCCTGCCTAAATTGAGGGATTGGGTAAGAGACAGATAGCTGTTTCAAACAGTCCACCCACCCAAAAACAAAAGAACCCTACAAAACCCTCTTTGCAAATCTTGCCAAAGAAAAAAAAACCAGCAAAATAACAGATTTTTGTTTGGTTGAAAGGAAATCAAGATCAGATGTCGTTGACAATCTCCAATGTTCTTCACTGCCCAAAACCCAGAATTTGGCAGCCAAATTCTATCCAAAACTCTTCAGTCTCCAAGCTATCATCTTCCTATCTCAGGTAATGCTCACACTAGCTTTCGTTAACTACTTTCCGGTTTTCTTTTTGTTTTGTTCCATTAATTGGTGTTTGGGTTCTTAGAAATAGAGGAAAAGGGAACGGAAAGAAAGGAAAATAGCAGAAAGCTTTGATTTTGATTTTGAATTTTTGTTGGATAGTGAGTTAAATTTAGCCAAAAGGATAGAATTACTCTCCATACGAAATAAAGTTAGTGTTTTTAATAGATGTATGTATGTATGTATGTATGTATGCATGTATTATTGGGATATGAACACCAAGATTCTCTTAATACATGGTAGAACTTAGAAAATTTGAACATAACTATGTCAGATGTATAATCGTATCTAACACTTGTACCTGAGTACTAGTAACATACAGAGTCACTACCGCCATGTGATAACCGAATTTAGCTTGTTTGGTCTTCTTTTCGCTATAAATGTTTATCGTTTCGTGACAAGTTCTTGAATCGATCAGGTTTCCTCAGAGATTTCTTTCCCGAAGAATAAAATCGTGATACGTGCCGCTTCATCTGCAGCGGGAAGTTCTAATCCCGACAGTGACTTGAACCCGTATGAGGTACTTTGAACTGTTACTGCTTGGTTCATTCGGAGATTTGAGTACGGAGTTACTAGTGACTGGATTGATGAGTATTTCGAATTTCTTGTATGTTTCCAGATCCTTGGTGTGAGCCCTATCGAGGGATTTGAAAAGGTCAAGCAAGTATATACAAGAAAACGCAAAGAGGCTGACAAGAGAGGCGACGAAGCTACTGCTGCACTTGTAAGTTACGACTATCATAAAGTTGAAGTGTTGTTGAGAAATAATGTCCAACTCGTTATATTTTGGATTTTCATTACGAAAATCTGCTTGCCTTTATGGTACTTACCGTTTGCTGATACATGTTGCGATTGTTGTCCAGCTCGAAAAAGCATATGACAAACTCATGATGGCACAATTAGTGAATCGGAAGAAGGGTGTAACATACGGTTTGTTTAAAGTACGTAGTTAACAATCCTTAATGTATTACCTTTGTCTGATTTGTGAAAACCACATTACATATTTAGTTTTCATGCACTTGTATATAAGAAGGTTTCAGATATCAATTTTTTCGATACCACTTACACTAAATCTGTTTCTTCCCCTGTATCGAAAGACTATTATTGATTGTTATGTTATAATCTTTATATTATTCAATGTTGTACTTTGTGTTTGTCTTAAGCTCGTCATTCTGTTTATCATTAACGTTTTTTCCGCTCATTTTTTTCCAGGTTTCGAAGGATGTTAAATACGCTGATAAGCAGCCGATCATACCATGGGGGCCAAGGTTTCGTAACTACTCATAAGTAGAAAATTTCTATATTCGAGTGTCTCATGTTGATTGCTCTACACATGGAAAAACTTGAAATAAAATTGACCATATACATTTGTCGGACACATTCATATCCAACACTCATACCTAAGTCCTAGTAACTGATCATTTTAAGAGCTAGAGACGTACTCGTGGTGGGGCACGAGATATTGATAGTCATCCCACACTAATACTGCGGGAAATTCTATTGGAAAACGTTTTGAAGTTTCTTTTTCTTCGATAAGTTATGGTAGCGAAAACTTGCATTTGTTTTAGCTCGATCTTAATGCTAGTACTTGATATGACTCCTTCAATGGTAGTCATATATACTCTTGTGTGGAATTCCGATGTGTTTCAGGTTTGCAAAGTCTAGTGTTCAAGATATGCGCATCAACTTGGCAATTTCCGCTGTATTTGTAAGTATGATGGATTCCCGGCATGCTTATTGCACCGATTTAGCAAATCCATAGATAGTGCTGTATATCCTAAACTGTAGCAGTTCCGGTGCGACCCAATCGCTCTCGTATTTTCTATCACCTCATTTTTTCTTTTTTCTTTGCAGACAGCTTGGATTTTGATCATGCGCAACGTCGAATATAAACCATTGCAGTTTTTGGCTTTTGCATTCGTGTATCGAATTTTTGAGAAGCTGAAAGTCTTCGAACCACCTGTGTCACCGACGTTTACAGTGAGTCGTATTTAAAGAGCTTAAGTCCATGTTTTTATATCTTTGTGATGGCACTGAACAAGGAACTTGTACCGACTTCGATCATCGCTTTGGTTTCTTCGAATTGTTGATTATTGAATTTTGATGTCGACAACAGGAAGAAGGTGAAGATGATGGGCGGGGCATCCGAATGGGAAAAAGACTTCTCCGTTCTCTTGCGCTAGTTTTCGGTTCTATTGCTTTGGCCTCTCTGGTACGAGATGTTGCTCAACTTTGAATTCCATCTTTGCTATAGTTGACAAATCAAAATCTCACTCCTCGGAGTCCGTAATTCGAAATTTCATTTCCGATTATACGATATTCTTTCATGTTTTCATTCGTTTCGGTTGAATCATATCGCTTCTAGTGTCATTTTCTCCTCCTAGTAGCATCGTCGATAACGTTTCGGTTGTAATTTTGCAGGCATACACAGGCCTTCTGAATTTGATCGAGTACATCGGCGGGTATATACCCATTTTTCTCTACAATAACCAGGTAACAACATTGAACTAATATTTAACACATGTTTAGACATCGGTACAAGGATACGATCCTCCTGAAAAAAGAAACAAACAAACCCGTACCCGATACCCAAAACCCGAGTATCGTAGCATTTGTTCGGTACTGGGGCCTGCTTCATTTGCTTCCGACCATGCCGAGTAATGAAGTTTCATGTACAGGAACTCATAGTGACCACCGCATCAGCAGTTTCGCTATACATCATGGCTTCATACTACAGGTGACGAGTCTAATCAAGTTCGGGTTGAGTTCGGATCGAGGAACCGTTTAGCAGTTCATAGTTTAGGAGCTTGTTTCATACCGTCAAACTTTAGCTCTCCAATTTTGTCAAATAAGTTGGAACTTGAGATGGAAAACATAGTTTTGCATTACAGTGTGAGAGTTCTTGCTATATTTATCATTCAAGCGTTTAAGAGGTCCGAACCAAACTATTTCAGTGATTAAGGAATTTAATGTCATCCTTAAGGTTCCGAATTCGAGCGCCGCGTTTAACAGGGTACAACATTATTTGTCGTTTTATAACCAAACCATTAATAAATAGGATAACTACTTGAAATACCACTGACCTTTAAAGACGAACTTGAAAATGAATTTGGGTAAAAAAAACAAGTTAGAGAAATTAAAGCATAATTATGTAATTGTTGGAAATTAGTGTATTGTGCTGAAGGTGATTTGTGTTTAATGATGTTAGGATCTTGAATTGATTCATTTGTGTTCATTTGATAAGCTAATAAAAACAAGTGAATAAGTTAAGAATGCAAATTAGTGAAATCGGTTTAAATTGATAATTTGGGTAGTAAATTTAGAAAATCACCATAAAATTTACAAGAATGATTAAAAGACGATTTTTATACTGTTGGATTCATAAATTAATCTAGTTTTGTGTAAAACAAACGGTTACTGATTTAGAAGTGTATACAAAAATATATGAATTTTTAACCGATGATAAGTCAGAAACTCGGGCAGCAGATTCTGCTCTAAACATATTCTGTAAGCTAGATTGAAAAATTTGCCATAAAATATACAAGTTGAACTAGAAGAAGTTCCTTACATAGTTAGATTATTATTCGAATCTAGTTTTTAATGGTATAAACGGAATAATTTTTAAGTGTCTAGATTAATACCAAAAAAAAATTCTTTGAGGGTAGTGTAAATTACCAGAATATAAAATGGAGGTAAATTATTCACCTTGTGATATTTTTATGTTATATGATATTTTACTTATTTGAAATGAGCCAACTCTATTATATTAGCATGAAAATCGTGACATTTATCGTATGAGGAAATTATGATAGTTTCATGGAAATGTTGTTTAGAGGATGAATTTATGTTATAATCAAAATAGAAACCATGTTAAGAAAACTTAAAAGTATTAGGCCAAAGGAAAGAAATAAGGAAAATTTGTGGTAAATTTTTTCAAGGTTTAGAAATTATGAATGAGTGATTCTATATGTTTAGAATGTGACTTGGGCCAATTTGAAAAATGGTGAAAGTATAGGGATCTAATCGCATAAATTGAGAAATATGAGGATTAACGTGTAATTGTTTAATAATTGATGTATTAAGTTGAGATTAAAAGTTGGAGTGCTAAATTTGATGTCTAGATGGTGATTTGGAATATTTGTGAATTTAGGATTAAAGGGCAAAAAGGACTATATTAAATAAAATAGAAAAGTAGAGATGAAAACTTGAAAGAATTTAACCTATGGTTGAAATTATGATATTATGAATTTAGAATCGAATTTGGAAGAATGTATAAGCTAAAGAAATAAATTGTAAATATGGAGAAATTAGGGATTAAAGTAGGAATTAAGTATGTGACGATGCAAAAATTATAAATAATTATTAGAGGGACTTGAATAGTTAAATTGGAACTTGACTCAACGTGAGAAGTTGTATAATATAGAGATTCAATTCGTAAGTTCTAAGAAAGTTGGTGGTAAAATTAATGTATTAAATTTGATATAATGTGAAAATAGTTGACATGGATTTAAATTGAATATTAAGGAACTAATTTGTATATATACGAAATATTGGGTTATAATTGAAAGGAAAATTTATTAGTTGTTAAATGTAAAATGTTGAAAAGTCAAGTGAATGATTGTAAAAAAATAAAATAATAATAACTATTTAAAGGACTTAGACGGATAATTTGATAGAATTAAAGTTAATTTCGATTTGGTAAAAGAAATTAGTATTAAATATCCCGTTAATATTATTTTTAGAACATTTATATGAACATGAGTTCTTAAGTAAATTGAAGTATTAATATATGTTAAAATAAAGTATGAAGTTGATAATTATTCTTTAAATTTTTTATATTAATAAAGGTATAAGACGCAAATAAAAGCTCATTGTATAAGATATTAGAGTTAATGATGCAAGAGGTAGAGTGAACAAGTACAAAACTTACGAGCTGTACCAGTATAGATCACTCATATGACTCATGTACGTTTGTGGCGCCTGAGGTGGAGTGATAATTGAATATAATACAGATCACTCATATGACTCATGTACGTTTGTAGTGCATGAGGTGGAGTGATAATTGAATACAATACAGATCACTCATATGACTCATGTATCTTTGTAGTGCATGAGGTGAAGTGATAATTGAATATTGCACATATCACTCATGATTTATGTACCTTTGTCACTCTTTCAGGTGATCAACTTGCCTTTCCATGCCCGTTTATTTATGTTATTCCGACTCTTCATTTTTATTGAACATTTAACGTATCATAAATTATATATTCGTATTCAACACTCATTTTATTTCGAATATTACAACAAGATTTTAGTGGACTGGAAGAAGAAAATGGCAACTGAGACACAAATGGTATCCCTCTAATTACTCGAAGGATCATTTTCCGATCCCATTTATCACATAAATAATGATGTATACTTCTCTTTATTATTCATCGATTGGTAATTTGTTTATGCATATCTACCTGTAGGTTCTGCAATTTGAATTTTTTTACGTTTGTTTTCGATTTTACTTATGATGTTCACCTTAAAATTTTTTTGTGCCTATCTCATACGAAAAAAATTCTATTATTAATATACATGTGGCTGCCTCAAAAAAAAATTTCTGGATCCACTACTGTCTATTCCGATACGTATAGTTCAATGTGCTAATATAGAGATGATCAAATAATTCAGATCTAATGGATTTTAACAGTTCTCTTTCTTGATGTCTCGATTCGAATAATTATGTTTATAGAATATATATGTGTTCTCCAAAATTAAGAAAGCTTATGAAAAAATAATAACTTATAATTACCTCATACTTTCCGACTAATATGTTTAAAGGTCAAAACTAAAATGTAACCATAAATTACTTTTGGATAAATTGCAAAAATAGTCATCAAACTATTGTTCATTTTCTACTTTAATCATTAAACTGTTTTTTTTTCAACAATATCAGTAATATTAATTTTTCCTATTTTAGTCGATGGTTGTTAAAATTTTAATGACAATACTAACATGATATTTTTTACTTTTTCATTATAAAAAATTACATATGAACTGTTAATATGAAGAGAGAAAATAACAAAAAATAAAAATAAAAAATATCATGCAACCATCTCCATTATGACCAAATGATAAATTACAAAATAGCCATCAAACTATTGTTCATTTTCTACTTTGATCATTAAACTGTTTTTTTTACCAACAATATCACTAATATTTTTTTTTCTATTTTAGTAGTTGGTTGTTAAAATTTTAATGACAATATTGACATGATTTTTTATTTTTCTATTATAAAAAGTTTACATATGAACTGTTAATATGAAGAGAGAAAATAACATAAAAATAAAAAAAAAATTATGCAAGCATCACCATCATGACCAAAATGAAAATAAGATAATTAACAATATTTTTTTACAAAAATAATTCGATAATAATAAAAATTTAACTGTAGTTTAGTGACTATTAGATTAATTTACGTAAAAAAATTAGTTAAAATTAGCCCATTCTTCATATTTTTCAAACTTATAGGGCTTAAAACAATAATAAGTGCCTATACTATATCCAAAATTGATTTTTAGTGCCTAAAGTTTTTTTTTGTTAAAAATAAATACTAATATTTTATCCGTTATACTTTTAGGTTCTTACCGTTTGAAAAATGATTAAGTGACACCTCACATTTATATATATATTTTTATTTATTTTTTAAAATAAAATATTGTATAAAAATATTTTTTAGAAAATTTGAGTATGACATGTGTTACTTAACGATTTTTTAACGTAGTCATCTGTAAGTGAAACAGAGAAAATATTAGACACTTATTTTTAACGAAGAATTCTTCAGATACCAAAATCCAATTTTAAGTATAGTTTAAGTAATTATTTTTTTATATTTGAAGCTTGAACACCAAAACAAAGAAAAGTAATGGTTAAAAAACAATGAAAATTAACAAACCTTGCTACAATTTCTCGTAAAACTTCCACCATTAACGTCCCCTACTGTTTCTTCCTATAATCCTTGGTGTTCAAAAGGAACTTCCGGTGTTGGCTCTCGTGCGGCTCAGAAAGGTTCCTTCGCCATCATTTCCGACCTCCGCCGCCGAATCAATGAACGTGTCACCGATGCATCCAGGGTTTCTCGAGATCACCCTCATCTCCGCCCAGGACCTCCACCCGGTCTCCAAACACATGAAGACCTACGCCGTCGTCTGGCTCCAACACGACGAGAACAACAAGCAGGCCACGAACGTGGACCAGGCCGGCGGGACGAACCCATCGTGGAACCACAGGTTCACGTTCCGGGCGAGCAAAAAGTTCCTTAATTCGGAGGACGCCGCCATCTCCATCGAGGTCTGCGCCGCTGCATGGAAGAAAGACGCCACGGTAGGATCCGTGAACGTTCTCATAAAAGACATCCTCGAGCTGCCGTCGAAAGGGGCCGACGCCACCGGTACCGTTGCGCTTCCGTTACGCCGTCCGTCGGGGAAGTCGCAAGGGTTACTCAACGTGGAAGTTTCCCTCAAGTTAACGGTGGAAGATCACAGCGGTAGCTTGGTGAACGGAAACTCGCTTTGCAACTCCGACGTCGGACCGTCCGCCTCCATCGTGGCGGCGGCGATCGCAAAAGGGTTGTATACCCCGCCGGTCACTAACCCGTCGGAAGAAGCGGAACGAATAAAAGAATGGACCAAGAAAGAGAGGGAGAAAGAAGCGTTGGAGAGACTGCAGAAGGAAGCGCCGGCCAGGTCCTTCTCCGCTTCGTTCCAGAGCAGGAAATCGAGCAGATCGAGATCCTCCAAGGGGAAGAAGAGTGAAGGTACCAAGTTGTTCGCGTGTTTGGGATGCGAGATTGCGATTCTTGCGGCGGAGGTGGCGGTGGGGATGAAGGTAGTAGGAGGAGGAAAAGTGGGAAGAAACGTGGAAATAAAGTTTGTAATTTAAGCTCCGTGGATAATTGTAGCCAATAATTTTGTTTTCAAGATGGTATTGATTTAATTCAATTAGATTTAATATGTGTGAATTTTCAACTTAAAATTTAATTTGAAATAATCCCTATTATGTATTAAAATATATTTCGATTTACATATTTTTACATGTATATATATACATATATTTTTAATTTTACATCTTTTTAAAATCGTTTGATTAGTAAAATAATCTCACTTGCATAAAGTTGATGTTTTGCAAGCTCGAGGAAGATTCGATGCCAACACTGGAGAAACTGTCTAATTTAAGGATTCTTAAATTATATTTAGAGGCTCTAAGAGCGAACAAAATACATTTCTCCGCACAAATTTTTTCTAAACAAAATAAAAAAGGTGGTGGTTAACTAGTAGTATATAAATATTAACCATTAAACTATTTTAAATATGGGGTTAACTATTAGTAAACTTCAAAAGGAGAATAAAATATATATCATTTTTTATTAATTTTTCACATTGATAAAAAAACATATAGTAATACAAATAAATTATTTGTTCGCATTGACTCAATTACTGGTTAAAATTCGGTCAATATTCGGTTTGAATCAGATTTAGGTAAATTAATTCAGGTTTATTTTCGATTCAGGTTGTTTCTAGTTCGGTTTAATTGTGGTTCGGGTTATTTTTGGTTCGAGTCAAATTGGATACAGGTCAATATCGATCCAACTAAAATTTGAGTCGAATTTGGTTCAGTTTGGTTTGTTTTTGGGCCTCGAATCAAGTTTTAGCCATAATGTTTGGGTATATATCATATCTTAGATCAAATATGTCACACCCTAATTTTCTAAATTATTATATTATTTGAAATTTTAGAACCAAATTACAAAATTTAAAAATTTATGGGGCAGTTTTTGAATGTCTAAAAAGACCTAGGATTCGAGCCCAAATTTTCCTTATCACTAGGAAATAAAAAAACTATATTTGGTGGGCTTTAAACCCATGCCTCTAGAAAATTATTTTCAAATATTTTTCAAAACAAATCTTTTATTTGATGGAGATCAGATTGTGTAACCCTAAAATATCATCCAACATTAAAGCAATTTTCCATCTTCCCCCAAACCTCCTATCATGGTCGAAGCTCCAACAACCACCTCCGACCGTCGGTAGCATTCACTGTCCCCACCTTGGTGATCCTCTTCATTCCTCGACCAAAACCCCTGTGATAATTCATCAAAAATCGTTGTAGTTCGCTCGGTCGAGGCGTTCGAAAACTCACCAAAAAAACATAAAGAACCTCAACGTTGTTTCATCGATTTCACGCCAATCCTGAGCTTGGTTGGCCTCATTGCCACTCCTATCGAGTTCCCCTCATCGGTCCGAAGAAAACTTGACCAATGTTGCTCTCAACTGTTGTCATTTTTACGGTGGTCGTTTAGTAAGCTTTTAGTTTTGTTATTTTAAATTTTTCATCGATATTTTGGTGTGATATTGGTTTATTTTGGGTTTCTTGTTGGTGTTTGTGTTTCTTTCTGGTTAATCAACCACCACTCCCGACCCCATCGTCATTTTCACGCGCTGCCTCGTGCCTCTGTCATGCGTGGTGCTTGTCCTCCAACCGATATTTCCAGAACCTAGTCAACTTGGACCCAAGTTAACCAAGTCAGTCAAGTTAACTCACGAGTCAACCCGTCAAGTCAACTCAGAACAATCAACCCGTTAACCTGACCATTGACCTGACCGTTGATAAGACCCGTTGACTTTGACTTTGATCGCATTAACTTTGACTAAAAAGCTAATTTTTCAAAAAAGTCATTTTATGTTTTTTGACATCCCAAGTTTGCATTTGTGGTATATTTCATCAAACTCTAACCAGAAAACCTCCAAATTAACCCTTGAACCTAAAATTTCATAGTTATTTTAATTAAATTGGTTAAGGAAAATTAAGGAAAGAGCAAAGACTGATTTATGAATTTGGTTGTGATAGGTGGCCATGCGACTGCTCGACCCAGGTCCTCTCGATCTGTCGGACCGCGTGAGCCATGATTTCTCGTATGGTTCTGAAACTCTATTAAATACTTTGTTCAATTTATTACTCCGATGGTAACCCTGTTTTGATATGATTTAGGATCGTGTACTGCTTTCAATCATAGCAAGATCAGTGCTCAATAGAATCCTGAACCGACCTGTTTCGCGAGGTGTGTTCCTTGTATGCAATATTTATATGTTTTTATTGATTTTTGTGAATTATACTTTTACTAATATAAAATTCTGATTTTACTGATCTGAAATTTCTGATTGTCTGATATATGTTATCTGGATTACTGTTATTGTAGAATTTCTGTTTTTTTTTTTTTGATTTTACTAGTGCTATCTGAAATTGTTTTGGGGTACTCTTGGGTAGGTGTATGGAGACTATGAGGTTCATTTAGCTGGTAATTCCTTTCTGTTCTGATCTTTCATATTGGACTCTTAGATCCTCGTGTCTAATGTAAGTCCTTATGAATGCTCGTTCTGGGGTATTTTATACGGTGCATGGGCGGAGTGTAATTAGGTGTTTTAAATTAAAAGTATATGGTTATTTTTACTCTGTGATTTATTAAATCATTTTTGAATAGTATCAGCATGTTTATTTCTGCACTTATTAGAACACACTGACCTCCCTATCTCACTCCCCCTTCATTTCTCCTTTAAGATATTTTGGATAGGCTTCTAGATCAGGCACTTAGAGGATCGACACATTCCCCATAGAAATTTTGTTATAATGTTTCAATCATCTGAACTGCTAATATTTTGGTGACATGTGCCCATTATTTTGATATATTGATATTTTAAAATTAATTTGCATTATTTCTGGTTTTCTATTACTCGATTTAGGTTTATTCATTATAATCATGCTTTTAAAAGAAGATATGATTTTAAAGTGTGGAAATTAGTTTTGTAAATTTTTATTGTAATCTACTAGATTTAGGGGGTTACAATTAGTTGGTATTAGAGCTTTTGATTTTTAAAACCTCAGATTATGGATGAGTTAAAAAAACGTGATTTTGAAATGTTTTACAAAACAAGTTCTGAAGGCTATGTCACCAAGTTTTTATAACTTTTATTGTGTACGAGACTCCAAGTGTCGATTATAATACTAGGTTTCGTCTTATGTAGTGAATCTTTAAATCCTTCGAGATGATTACTAGACTAGTCGACCCGACCGTGGGCGAGGTTGAGCGACTAGGTTTGCAGACCTGTTAGATTATGCATGTGTAGATCATCTTCTTCCGATAAATTCTTCTGCTCATCAGGATCCTGCAACCCGATAGATTAACCTCTTACTCCTAGTATAGGTTTGACTACCCCTATTAGAGGAACATCAAATTCCAGCACCGATCCTGCTAATGATGTTTTGGATGAGAATCTTGGTAAACAGTTTCTCCAGCTAATTTAGAGTGCGGTTAGAGCCACAGACGTTGTACCCAAGGTGCCTATTTCTCAGACTCTTATTATGAATGGAGTTAGGACCTTTTCAGGCCCTACTAGTAAACTCCGACTAAGGCCAAGGATTGACAATGTGATACTGAGCGACGTATGGTTCAGTTAGGTTTAGATCAACGGAGGAGATATTTGGGAGTTGTTTCAATGCTGGATAAAAATGCACACACCTGGTGGGAGTCCATAATAAGCAGCGTTCCTATCTCCCACCTGACATGGGATTTTTTTAGGGAACACTTCAAGAAATATTTCTTTGGAGAGTGTTATCTGACTGAAAGACGACATCAATTTAGGATTTAGTCTAGGGAGATATGACAGTCTCCGAGTATGAGATGGTGTTTTTGAAGCTAATGAAGTATAGAGAAAGTTTGGTTCCTACTGACAGAGATAAGTGTCTTATGTTTGCTGGAGGACTCAGATATGAATTGAGTAGGCAGACAGTGACCCATAAGGATGAGGTGCTTGATGATTTGGTGGATAGAACAAAAGAAATTGAAGAATTTGAAGTTAAGGATCCTGCTAGTGATCGAGTAGATCGAGAGTAATCTAGGAGGTCTTCTGGCCGATAGAGTCTTCTGCATGCCCTGAGAAGAGGACTTGTACTTCTATTCCCGAGGAGTAACTTTGGTTCCAGGCATATAGTTTCACCCTCAATTGTTAGTCGGGGTGATTAATTGGCTATTTCTTATGTACCTGTTTGCGAGTGTTGTGAAATCGACTTAAGGGTGAATATCGTAAGAAGATGGGTACATGTTATCAGATGTGGATCTAGTGAGCATTTCCTTAGGAATTGTCTCCACCCTACCTCTTTTGAGCGTACATCTACTCTGACCCCTATCTGTTCTCAAGCTTCTATTCAGACCCTAGCTATAAGTCAGAATCAGGGTATGACTTATGGATATGTTTCTAGGATTAATGCTAGAGCACGTTCGTAGCATAGTGGAGGACCAATTTTATCTAAGGCGAGGCATCCTGCTATGGTCAACGCTACTAGACATCTTGACGTCCAGGATGAGCTTGAATTGTCTGCAGGTATATTTATTGTTAATTATGTTTCTTATCATGCATTTCTGAATAATGATTATGTTTATTCCTATATTAAGAGATTGTATCACAAAACCCTAATACTCTGATTTAGCTTATCGAAATAACTGTTACTATTGCAAGTTTCTGTATTTATTCCAATTAGGTGAATTTTGAGGACAAAATTATTTTAAGGGGATGAGAATTATCAGACCCTAATTTTCTAAATTATTATATTAATTGAAATTTTAGAATCAAATTATGAGTTTTAAAAATTTATGAGGTAGTTTTCGAATGTCTAAAAAGTCCAGGGACTTGAGCCTAAATTTTCTCTATCACTAGGTAATAAAAAAGAGTGTATTCAATGGGTTTTGAACCCATGCCTTTAGAAACATTTCCCTAATCCCTTGCCAACTAGGCTAGGCTACTATAACAATTATTATTTTCAAAACAAATCTTTTATTATGATGGAGACCAGATTGTGTAAACCCTAAAATTTCATCCAGCATTAGAGCA